GAACATCTGTCAGTGGGACTGGCTTTTTGTAAACCAGAGTTTAAGTGACAGAAATTATAGACCTTTTTTAACCGACGGTTTCTGACTTTAACCAAAGGCGAGAGTTTTTCTTTTAATGTTTTTCAATATGCCCAGAGTTGTAAGATAAGGTGTAGCCTGAGGAAGAATATATAAGAGAGTTAATGCACATTAAATCTAACGTTAGCGTGGATTGCAATCTTTAGCCATCCCGAGCGCAGGTAAAAAGCAAAATCAATCACTAAATTAAGCAGGTTCCGCTATGTTTTAACGTTTATCGTACTATCGTTTTCCAGGTACTTTTTTATGCAAAACTCATACAGTCAAGCGAATCTGCAGAATTTTCAAATTTGAGTTCGATACTGCCTAGGCATCCAGTGACGTTGACTGCGGCTGACTTTTTCGGGTATTCCATTGATTAGTGGGTAGGTAAAGGCCTTTATCATTGCGAAATCAAGTTTGTGAGTGATGTTTAAAGCATGGCTAACCGATCACACGACTTTCAGAGAGAAATTGGTTGGTCACTATTGCTGATAGTTACAGCCACGGATACTGGCTGTCTACCGAAGCATCCTTGCTCAGAAGCTTGCTTTTTAATGACCATTGGTAGTACAGCTGCGCAGCAGATAAGTTGACATGCTCTGCCTGCAACGGCAGATGGAAAAGAGTTGAGTTTGCTCGGCCGCTTCAGCTGCAGCTGCTTCCCAATGTATTATAACATAAACGATGCTGCTTAGAAGTGGTAGCCATGCCAGTGGTGTTGGTTGCAGGGTGTTGTTTATTTCCATTTCAGTCTTCTGATGTTTAACAATGAGAAACAAACTGGTGACTGATAATACTGAGCTAGAAAGTAGCACATCGGGGTTTTCTAACGTTGGGTAGTCGTCCAAGTGCGGTATATGACTTTTTCGTTGTTGTCAGTGATCAGTGCTGCAGTGGTCGCTTTGAATCTAACAGATTAAATATCAATTGGAGTTCTGTATGGATGAAGTTGTGAATTTTGGATTACAGTTTCGTTGTGGCAACTATGCCAAGTCATTTAGTCAACGCGCAATTCTGCGATCGCGAGTTCGACCATTGGCAGATGGTCATCTGTATCAGCTACTTCATTTGATTATTCGCATTATACATTGATCAAAAGATTCTGGGACCCCAGTGCGAAACTTTTATCGTAACTGTCAGTTTGAATGATTGCAGTTTTGTTTGTCGACTTCACTGAGGATTATGTGAATTGTTTTGTTCAGCGATGATTCACGCTGTCTCAAGACTGAACATATTGCGTTTTCCTGATTGGACCTGTTTCATCATGTTGCTTATCAGTCAGACGCTTTTTCTGAGCATAGTACAAGATTTCTGTCAGAATAGAATAAATAAAGAATAAATAGAATGGAATAAAATATCTAATTCTAAAATTTTTTGACTATTGAGGTTCTACTGTGTTTACTATGCTAGGTCATTAGATCAGCGAATAGTCGCTTAGTTCTAGGTTTAAATCTATCTGACTGACGGA